TTCGACATTCCTGAAAAAAATTCGATTGTAGTTTTGGATGCCATTTTTCGTGGGTTCGCAGCCGGAAATTGACTCGAAGCGCCGATGCTTCAATACGGACGGCTCGTCTGGAGCTTTATCGAGTGAAGTTTCAACTCCCTGCGGTAAAAGCAGTCAGGCTATTTGCACCGGGCTTCATAGAGCTACAGGCAGCGGAAGCTCCCTTGCGATAAGCCACAACACCTGTCGAGCCTCCTTGCTAGAAACGCAGCTGGAAGGCGAGGTCAAAGTCGGTGAAAGACCAGATGAAGTCCTGGGTAATCTCCCCCGGAGACAGCGGAGGAATGCCAGGATTGAGGCCTTGTAGTGACGAACTCCGTAGGAGTGGTAACGAAGTGCAGCGCGGAAAAGAAGCTGCGGAAGTTTCTACGGTTGCCTGCGAAAGACGCACCTGAGCATGATGTCATGGTTGTGCTGACCAATGAGACGATCAAACATCTCACTTTTGTTATATAGTGTACACCAAACTTACTGCTTTGTATCCATGTTACAGCTCAAGTAACGTCACGGTTCACGGTTTAAAATGACGGTTGACAAGGAGCGAAATATGCAAGGACTGTATTTGAAATTACCGCTAAAATCAAGTCTCAAGAATCGCTACCCTCATTCAAGAACTTGGACGCGACGGACGAAGATCAAACCAGCAAGCCAGGGAATCCCATATTCGCGCAGCGGCTAGCGGTATGCCCCAGCATCAAAGGCATAGGAACCTTAACGAGTAACCTCCAGCAAGAACAAATGGGTGAAGCGCTGTAGGTACGAGTGGTACCCCGCACATAAATACATCCCGACCAGGAAGTCTATGGAGATAAGGTGTGCTGTCGTGTTGGGACCCGTTACGCTGTCTGGCTGCAGGTTCTCTGGCAACACATCTTCATAAAGTTTGGGCAATCCAAGCCGGGAATTGACCACTTGAGGAATCGTCGTAGTGTGGGTCATACTACCTGTGATCCGCTGTAGTGCCGATTCACACCAGTTACGAATGAGCCGATCAGCGCCGAAGACGACCATGCCAGCAACCCAAGGGCGCGCGCACCATTCGCGAGGGCAGTGAAGCCAAACAGCTCACAGTCGTCAGCTTTGAGGGAGAGCGGTAAGTTGCGCTCGTGGCAGTATCGTTGGAAAGAAACCGACCTGAGTCCTTCCAGTCGTCAACCGCGCGAAGAGCTCCACTGAAGCCGGCCGCCTATGCAAGCAGCCATTCACGACGTTACCACGTTCGAATGTCGGAACCAGTTTATCCAGCCCAGATAACTTTATACTCGTATTCACCAAAGTCGCCGCGACGACCGACAATGGACCAGACGACATAACGCACTCGGCAACAGCAGCGCGAGCCATCTCAACAACACAGCGGCAATCTGCGACGAGACCAAGATGAGCCTGGCCCGTGACGCGGCCACCAGTCAAGTTAACACTGTTCCAAGCGGATCGAACCATGGCGACTCGATTGGCAAGTCCTATGCGCAGGTCCAAAGAGCTGAGAGCAGTGAAGTCGATTGCAAGCAGCTGCAGGAGGCCGAGGTGCGTTTTGGAAGGGAAGTTTGATTGGGAATCGTGTTGAATGAAGCTTAAAACTACTCAGCTAGGACAAGAAGTCCGAGGGGTAACACAGGCGGAGAAAACGCTGCGGTAAGGATTGCTAGGACGCCATTACAAGTTTAGAAAACCCATCCTATTATAGGGGGGGGGGGGGCAGCTGCCGATGTTATGGTTGCCAGGAGTTTGGAGGGGTACACTTTTAGTTTCTAGCCCGCCACCCCAAGAACCTCCTCCTCCACCTCCTCTTCTCTTCTATGCAGGGCCAGTTTGATATAAGGAAGTTGTAGACAAGATGGTCAAGTCGCTGGACGACAAAGAGTGTGAGCATGGATTGCGGTACAAGCACAATACACTGTACGGATTTGACGAAAAGAACAATTCCCTCAGCCGAATCAACCTCTCCACATTGATTTTATCCGCATCGGGTATTCCTGCAAGAAAACATGAGCAGGTTATGAGTGTGGGCATATCGCTCACCTTGGAAACCACACTAACAATCGGTGCGTTATCCAATTGCTAATTTCAAGCGATTCTTCGTTTTTACTAGTTTTGAGTATGTGCGTACTGTTGCGAATTACAGCTTGGCGTCAGCCTAAGAAATACTCAAGCCTGGAGTAGAGCTGGATGAATGTACCAATACACTCGATTTCCTGCGGTCGACAGCAGAGATGGAATTTGCAGCTAACTTTCGCGT